ATTTTTCTTTCAATAAGCGACACGTAAAATATTTACTATATTGAAGAAATTTTTATTTTGAGATTAAGATTATTTCGAGATCCTCGTCCTTTCTTCCTTTTCTATTTCGTTTAATAATGGGATTATTATTATCTGGCTAACGCCGCACTCTCTTCTTACAATCTGATTTACAGCTGTGATGGTACCTACAAAGCGACGATGCTGTTGAAACGAGGAACATTTCTGTCGTAAAGAAAGAAAGAAAGGGGATCCTTCTCGCATTTATTTCGCGACTGGGTCGCACACTTTTCCAAAACTTTTCCATTCGTTTCTTCGCGTTCTCGTTTTCGTGAAACGGCGCAGTTCGCCGATTCATCGGTAAGAAATAAGCGCGAGAACGAAAAAGTTTGACCGACGGTGCGGGAGAGCTTCATTTTATTAAAAAATTTTATTTTTATTCCCGTCGCGGAGCCAGGCCATCCATGGCTGTACCGGCGGTTAATACCGGAAGCGGGGTTTAATGGAATTACAACGTGTTTTATATGCGCGCCAGCATTTTCGCACGAGAAATTCGCAGAACGGACGAAAAGCGCACAAAAGGGAGAGCCGGACGGTTGGGGGCGGAATTTCACGCGCCACCGCGTAACGTGTTTGCGTAATATTTGCATGATATATTTTCGATACGCCGGCTCGTCGCGAGATCCTATAAGTTTTATGCAAAGCGGGCCACTATTGTCCGCCGTGCTCGAATAAATAAACCGGCGGGCTTCTACGAAGAAATCGGGCCTTGTAGAGATACGATGGAAGAGCGTCTATTTTCACGTATCTCGCGTCATGTCTAAAGATGTGCTGACCTGATATACCGAAATATCGAGGAAAATCGTATTATACGCGCTTGTGAGTTCGCTGAAAACCGGTGTGGAAATTGGGTGAAATTGTGGACTTCTTCGCAACAACTATTCCGTAAAACTCAATTACACCTTTGTCTCAATTACACCCAAGTAGCTATGTATACGCAAATGAACAAGCATCCAACGGTACGGTAAGCATACGAGCGTGAGTAAACGGATGTGGTTGCTACAAGACGAAGCTACCTATTTTCTACATTGTTGAATTCCTTGCGTAAACACTGTGTAAATACATGCACTGAGCAATTATTAAAATTAGTACAGCCGAGAGAAAGAACCTTCTCTTTTGTTGTTTTAATACCATTCTATATAATTCGTTTTTTTTTATTATTATTCTACCATTTGCTGCAATTAAGGTCGTATTCCGATATACATTGCCAGCACTGAAAGTTTAATCACTAAAGGATGGTTTTGCTGAAATATCTAAAAAATTAGCTTTTAGATACAGATCTAAAAATAATTTTGTTGGATCATGAAAATATTTATATGTAGAACGTTTGAACTGATTGCTGGAATATCGAAACTTTTTGAATTATCTTGTTTGAGATTTTCATGTAATTATTTCGATGGTCTAACATAATTATTTTTAGATCTGTATTTAAGTTAAGTTTTTGAATACTTTAGTAAAATCGTTCTTTTCGTGTAGTATACATAACGTAGACTTTCAATACTAGTATATATCGAAACACAGTCTAAAAGTCCATTTATATAAGATTTCGACAAAGCTACAACATTAAAATTATAAGCAAAAGATATTTCATATATATTTATCTCTATTTTTAGCTTTTATCTCTCGTGCTACATTTCCGTTTTTATTAAACTTATCTTCTCTCTATTATCTCACGTACGTGTGATCTACAATGATAGACTGTGCCGTACCATTCATTTGTGAAACCATAGAAGGAACAATTTCCGGTAGCAAAATAATACGCGGTGGGATACGCGTTTGAATTAAAAAAAAATCACGTTTTATCTAGGTATTTTTTTTCCATTTGATTGGAATATATTATATCATTTGCGCAACAATATTTTCGCAGAAACTTTGCATTTAAATTTCAATTAATTTCTCATCGAGTCAGAAATTTATTCTTATAAACAGAGAAATCGGAAATAGAAAAAATAAATTTTCTAAATGTAATGCATGTTGATGTAAACTAGAATCTAGAAGCTCAGATGTTAAAATCCTCCATTCTGATTAAATAAACTTTTATTTCAAAGAGCGTAATATACAAGCTAGATTTTTATATGAAATAGAAAATATTTTGCAAAATTTTAATTAAAACAGCACGTTTTTAATCAAACATAAAAATGCAAGATTTGCATTTACCATTTGCTTATAATCTACCCACGATTATAATCTAAACGCCCATGTGGAATATATTTCAGATTTACCATTGCGCAAAATGGCTTTTATTTTATTTTTTATAAAGTAAAATTCAATCAAAATTCAATGAAATTTACGTGAATTTTTGAATTCCACGATTTTAGGCACGCAACGTTCTGCAATCAAGTGTTTTACGTGCCTGTTTCATTGTTATTTCTCCAAAGGCGAGTCGTTATCGCAGAGGTCCACCAATTGCTCGTTTCCGTTTTTATCACGTTACATCGGTGCGTGCTTCGTCGTATCTGACAAAAATCGGGATTAAATCCGACGCGAGAAATGCATGCTCGCGCTGGGACAATCGAGTGACCGCATCCGACATCCCGCTTATATACGGATCATCCCCGACGCGATACCAGCTGACCCACCCCGTTGGTAATCGGTAGCCAGGGTGAGAGGAGCAAGGGCGAAGGGCGAGTAATTCACCACCTTCCGTTTCATTACTGCTTTACCAGAGATACAGCCGCGTGGCACGCAATCGCACGATCAATCCCGCCGCTGTATTTGCGTCCATCAGAGCCATAGACACTGAACGTACGCGAAATCGCGAGCCATTACGCGCGCAATAGATTATTAATGTCTCGATTAATGCGTTGTTCCAACGTCGTTGGACCGATCGCGGAATGCAGCATCCTGAGTACTTATACACTGAGAGAAAGATGTTTGGTTAAAAATGAACGAACCTAATATGTCAATCAGAATTTCAGTCATCATGATTGAACATTTAATTATTTTGGTAAATATGATTACACTGAAAAAATACTAAATTTTAATAAATATTTGTTTTAATAGTTTTAAGTAAATATTTACTTAGTATTACTTAAAGAAATATGTATTAAGATTTAGTAAATTTTCTTCAGTGTAAAAAATCTCTATCGGTACGTTTATTTTTAATAAAATTTTTTTAGTGTATGTAAAAATTAGGAAAGCAGAAAATTGCCAATGCATTACATTTATAGTACTTAAATAGCTCTCGCACTTAACATAGCTCTATATTGATCAGACATACATTATTTTATCTGTTTATCGAGATAATAACAAATAATTGTCGATTCTTTTGATACACCGCGTGCTGAGATACCGATAGTACCGATCCGCTTCACAATTAATATACGAAAGCATTAAGTTACCAATTAATTGCAAATGGATTTCAATCAAAGAGCTTTATAATTGATGCTTGTAGAGCGCAAGTGAACACCGGTAAAACTCGTGAATTTTCACGTGATCTCGCCTCCCATCAATCGACGTTATTATGGACATTATGAAAGTGGAAATTTTGCGATTCGTGCAGGCGCATATTTTTCTGAGTTCGTAAAAACTGATTTGATTTTAAAGCATCTTTATGCGCATAATTTCGGAAAAAAGATGCCCCATAAATCACGCGCTCGGCATCAAACTTCGCTCGTCCCGTCTTATTCATCTCTTAGACGGGAACAAAATCGAAGCGTGCGCGCTCGCGTCTCTAGAAAGAAAATTGCAATCTCGGGTTTTATAAGATGCAGGAGTGCGCCTTCGATATTTTGCGATTCTCGATAGAGTCAATCTTCTTGTACATAATTCCCGCGACCAATTACGCAAAGAAAAAGAAAGATTGCAGGCTGTCCTTCTGAAGGTATAAAATCCATTTTCCATCCGTGTGTATTCTTCATAAAGATTTGATTTTAAATATATTGTAACACACAGCAATAAATTTATGATTTACTGTCTAACGTACTTAATATTTCACGTAAAATAAGATATGTCGTTTCCATAAATAGATGTTAAAATGCAATTATTAACGTGATGAAATATTTATTAATTTATTATTAACTATCATTATTAATGAAACAGCAGATTTTTAAGATCGATCAATTTTGCTGTCTCAGAATTATAAATTTCTTCCGTCCCTTTTTTTGCAATGAACATTAGCGTAAGTATCGCTCTTTTTCTGATTTTAACATACGGGTAATTTACTACGGAGAAATCTTCTCTTCAGAGAAGGAATTTCACGAGGAATTTCCGCTTGAGGAAAGAATAAGCTTGTGGCGCAAACCCTAAAAACTTAGTGGCAATCAATCAACCACGCCCAGCGATTATTAGTGCAACTTTGTGGGGAAAAAGAACGAGCGTTTTAATCACAGTTGCAGGATAGCTGTATACCAAATTACCTTGTGTAATTTGATGTTAATTCTAATTGATATTAATCGAATAAATTCCTTTTACAAACTTTGCACGCTGTATCATTAAGTTTACACAATTCTGTTTTCGAAGTACTTGAGATAGTCAAATAATTTGGGGCGTAACATTTTTTAAAATAAATTATATAGATAGTGTGACATAATAATTTAGAGTTTGACAATATTGCGCGCAACAAAGAAAATCACATTACATATCGATCGCATTATTTTTCTTCACGGTGAAATTGCGCATCGATATATAACTACGGTTCTTAACTAGCAAACTATTAACGATGACAGGGTATTTTCGGCTTAATTCAAATAACCATCTGCCCTATATATGTTTCGGTACCATGTTACGTCGGGTAATTGCGAACACCGCTAAATACTCTCTATTAATTATCTTCGCCAGTCGTGCGACAAATGCGGCGATTTTATTAATAAAAGTTCTCGTGTATATGAATTTCAAACTGTTTTAACCGTGAGATAAAATTCTTCGCGTGATTGCTCTTTTTTTTTTAATAGTTTTTTTAGAAAAACATGAGATGTAAAGCGTCTGTTTTTTGTCTGTTGCAGTGTGCGTACAGTGGCCCGAGGGTAGGTGCTTCCATGACGTGCCAGAGCCGGCACTGCTGAATCTCTACTTCGAGATCCGTGAGAACTGTCACGGCTTCTCCTGAAGGCAACGACCAATCAGGCTACGACAATGATGACAATGACGGGCTTCCGCGCTCCTCGTCTTGTTGCGAGCGCGCGGATCATCATTATCACTTCAGTATCGCGAGAGAAACATTCTCGAGATAACGTATTTATTTAAAAGTCTTTCCAACAGCCGCCACACACCACGACCAAGCCAAAAACGAATAGCCACGTATAGCCATATAGAGAAAGGACGAAAGTCCTTGGTTTTTTCTTTCTTTTTTTTTCGTTCACGTCGATACATTCCGTCCGGAGGAACAGTTCCTATCTCGCGATTTTAGTAGAGACGCGCCGTCGAATGGATAGAGTCGACGGAATGATTCTTCGCGTGAGGATACCGATCTTTTAACAATCGGATCTGTGAATGTAATCCTTGTGCAAAGTTAATCAACTTAATTTACAGATTATTAAATATAGCAGATATTTTTTTTTTATTAAACAATACATTAATTAGTCTTTCAGTAAATTTGAATTTAGTTAAGCCTCTTAGATAAATAACAATAAATATTATAAATAATATTAATTAATTATTGATAATTAATTATATTTTGCAAAGAGGCTTTTGTGTGGCGATAATTTAAAAAAAATGACGGGCTCCGAAAATCTTATTCAATTTCCCGTCGTCTCCGTTCATTCGAGCCGCGTCTCCCAGCGAGAGCGACACGCAACAATGCTTGGTGCTCTCGTGTGTATCGTTTCCGGTGATCGTGATGGATCTTGTGTGACACAGGTCTAACGTTGGCCTTAAATGGGCGCTTGGCAGAATTCTCGGTGAGCGCGCGAAAACGGGATCTCTCGCGTTCTCTTTCTTTATAGGGTTCTCGATGATCCCAGCAGAAGCAAGGTGGGTGGTCCAGAATATTTATTTACCTACAACTAATTGCTCGTCGTTCAACCAGCTCGGGATTAAAGATTGTCTCTCCTGTTATATATACATATATATTTTTGTTTATTGTACTTGCCTTTTCTCTATCGTCCAGCAGGAGAGATACAACCATGCTCAGCCATTCCTAAGTTTCTCTTACACAACCAATTTTTCTTTTGTTGTTTCCCTCGAGCCGAAACAAAGTCCTCCTATCTTATCATCCGTCTCTACTTCGCGGTGAGAAAACTACAAAAAGTAATAACAGCTTTTACTCTCGTGCGGAGGAAAATGCGTTGTGTAAAGCAGAAAAGAGAACAGAAAGAGAGAGAGAGAGTCGACATAAAAGTAACTTGCAATAAAATGTCACGTTACGTAAGAAAAATTATGATTAAAAAATGTTAAACGAAAATGCCATCATGTAATACATTTTATATGATTATTTATTGTGATATCGCAGATATTGGAAAGCATTATGTTATTAATAATTCCTATCGAATCGCATTTTCCTCAGCACTGTTTTGTAATGCGCATTGTAAATCCTTTATGTAAAACGGCGAGTTCAGAGCGGAAGCAATTAATCGTTATGAAATCGATCGCTCGAGCTGCAATTTACGATCTTTTGTAGTATGTCACGAAAAGCATGAACTTCAGATTAGCGAGGCGGTCGATTTAAAAATCGACAGACACGATTTCGGATAAAAACCTACAAGCATCGCGTTGTTTCGGCATCATAATTTTAAACTTCTCGCAGCAAAACATCGTCGTGAATTAGCAAACTTCTGATGCTTTTACCATCGCGCTAAATTTCGATGCCACTTTTACAAAGGATGGAAATTGAAGATAGGACTTTATTTATTTAAAATATTTCTATTTTACGCTATTTTGTAAGCGAAAAAAATTTTTTATACAGGGAAAATATCGGTTTTCTAAAATCAGAATTTAACATCAACGTATTTCTGCCTTTGATTATATATATTTACCGTTCCGAACGGTAGTTCCATTATCTAAATATACGACTGTTTCAGTTGAAATGGCAGAATATAACATATCGCAAAATTGTTTTTCTGCTTTTTTTTTTAATGGAATATATTGATTCGCTATATTTTGCTCATATTTTGGTACAAATGTATGTGGAAATGCTTCGTAAAGTCAAATGGCAGGTAAATTACGCGATGATTTAGACTAACTTATATATATTTAGATTTAACGAGTACAGGGTAATAGATTATTAAGGATAAATAAGCTTTTTATATATACAAATTTCTAATCAAGATTGGAAAGGAAAATTCCGATTTTTTATATATTTAATTCACATTTATATATATATATATATTACCGTGCCAAAAAACACAGGGTATTAATTGTGGTGATTTTAAGTGATCGTTATTTTAGATATTCCGTGTAATTAATTAGTAGATGACATATACATTTTTACATAGGACAGAAGAGATATAGCTGCGTTTTTAAATGTCGATTAGACGAAATGTAGCATCAAGTTCACGTGGTTCTGCAAGTGGTTCTAACTCGTTCCGCGGTCTATTTTTATACAAAGTAATTTTTACACTTGGCGAGTAATCGCTCGTAGCCGAGCTTAGCGTTAAAACGCACTTGCAGAATCCACGAGAACGTAGAACAGTATTACGCAACCGCATGACTGTACTCTATTACAGGGTTAAACCGACATTCCAAAGAGCGTGACATCGATTACTCGCTAGGCGAGTAAACTGGGGTAATTCGCTATAAAATAACCGTATGTAAAAGACGCGTTCGTGATTTATTCCGCCTTTACTGATCCATCGATCAATCGTGTGCCATAAATACTCCATTTTACAAACGTAGAAAGTAGGCTTACTCAGACAATTTTTGATAGATTAAGACACGACGTTAGTTGCGTAGCGATTAGACTACATAGTTGATCGTCAAGTAAGTGTTTGTGTGTGGACGATTAAGTGTTCTACGAAAAATGGGCATGAAAGTATTTATAGATTATAACAGAATATTAGAATTCAGAAGTTGGACGAGGAAAATGATGAAATGAAAATAAATGGATAAATTAAGCGAGAACATATGAAACAAAAACGTGACGAGTGTAAAGAAGAAATAGTTATTTTTTACATGAATAGACATTAATATTTCTCGTTGAATATTAACAATATTTTAGTTTTGCACCAAAGTTCGATGGAAGTTTATTTTTGTGGAAAAATTGAAAATTCGTTTGAAGAATATTAATTTTTGAAAATTTCTAACACGCGCATATAAATAAAATATGACGTGTATATATGTGTGTGCTCGCATTTTTCTTTTACATAATTAATTGCAGCGCGTTTTTAAAAAAATTATTTTTGCTCTCATGTAGTAAAAATAAATTTAATTATGTAAAATAGAATTTATTAATGCCACGAGATGACAAACTGTATTATCGAGGTTTGGAGCAAAACGAGCATTAACGAAGCAAATCGTTAATCGATACAAGGGTAACTTGTTCTTCGCTGGTCGTCGAAACAAATCTACGCGGCACACTAGCGGACCGATTTGTCACATCTCAGTCAATAAAGAGGAATTTTTACTTTCCGTATATCGACGAGTCAATCGAAAACCGATTCTCACGATTGCACGCTCATGCATGTATCTATCATTTATCGGAGAAAAACAGAGAATTGGCAGATACGAGAATCATTTAAAACTTTTAAAAGATTATGTAAAATGACATGAATTTTTTATCTTAAATTATATAAACTAATAATCTCATATAAAAATAATTAACTTAAAATTATCAAATAATCTTATTTAATTATTACAAAATTAATTAGCAAAATTAATGGATTTTTAAGAAATAGTTTGAGAAGAAATGAAAGAATGGCAGGCAAAGCAAGCGTGTCTGCCTCTTCTCTAATTCTCTCTTTCTATTAACTATGCGATCGCTCCGTTCATTTCGCATACTTTTCGGTCGTTTTGCGGAAGTGTTCCGCCGTTGAACTTTCCGCTAAAAGTAATCGAGATATTTTCGTCAACGCGCTCTATTCTCCGTCTGTTCATCGAATCGTCGTCGTTCGGTACTTTCTGCGAATCTGATTTCAAAGTCATAATCGCGAAAGTATTTTAGTCGCATGCTTTACGCTTTTACTCTGAGAGCAATCCATGCGTTAGCCGTGTTAAGAAAAAGAAATTCTCTTTTCCTTTACCTCGAAATTCTCTCACGAGTGACGTTCAAGCGTACAACCTCAAGCCGACAGTTTAGCGATGGGATAACGAAAAAGAAACGCAGAAGAGAAAGAGTTCTCACAGTCTGAGGAAAGATCCGGAAGTCGAGGTCCTTCCTCTCTTCCTGGACTGTTCACCTCTCTGTCTTTTCATCTATTCCAACCTCGCACTTCTCGCGACGATATTACTACTCTGCTTCACAGTTCTCGAAGCACATTCCGCGTCTCCTAACAATTTTCATTCCATTTCATATCGCTTCCCTAGGTTCTTTTCCCTTTACTCCTATCTCCTTCCTTCCCGTTTGCCCTGGTTCGTTCCTTCCTCCAATTTTCTTTCGTGTCAGAATTCTTTCACTTCAGGTCGCGCTGTCGCGGTCGCGTCAGAGACGCGCGGGGGAAATTGATATTACTGTCGGGAGAGAAAAAGATTTGCCTCTCTCGACGTGCAAGATTTTATTGCCTTCGCGGCGTCTGATGTTCATTATGCGTGAACTTGAAGACAAATCGCTTAATTCAAAGTTTGCATCACTGACTCGACAAAGACAGCTTGAAATTGCGCGTAAATGTTATTGATTCTCGAAATTGCGGTGTCAGGAATCGGCTTCGAATTTATTTGGTTGCACTTATAATTCTCGAAAACTTATTGTATGCCGACGACGATTTTGATGATGCATGCTGTAGGCTTTTTATTTTGAGATTACGACGCTTACGTTATTTGAATACACGACAATGATTCACGGAGCGTTAAAAAAAAAAAATACGTAATCACGCAGGACTTTTCGCTCGTAAAAGCAGAAATAGAAAATAGTCTCGAGCTAAAAATTTTACCAAGA